GGCCTTGAACTTAGAGGTCCTCTTGCCTTTACTTCCCCAGTGTATGCACCAAGCCCAATACACATTTCTTTCCCCCGCGCGCTCTTTCTTTCTTCCTTCTTTCTTTCTTTCTTTCTTTCTTTCTTTCTTTCTTTCTTTCTTTCTTCCTTCCTTCCTTCCTTCCTTCCTTCCTTCCTTCCTTTCTTTCTCTCTCTCTTTCTTCCTTCCTTTCTTTCTCTATTTCTTTCTTTCTCTTTCTCTTTTTTCTTTTCTGTCTCTGGGACAGGTTTCTCTGTGTAGCCTAGCTATCTTGGAACTTGATCTGTAAATCACCTCAAACTCACAGAGATCCGCCTGCCTCTGCCTCCCTAGAGCTGGATTTCAAGGCGTGCACCACCGACTGCCTGGCTCATTATCTATTTTTTCATTAATTTATTTAATCACTTACAACCTGATCAAAGTCTCCTCCCTCCTTTCCTCCCAGTCCCAACCTCACACTTCCTCTCCCACTTCCCCCTCCCTTTTCCAAGGCACCCCCATTGGTACCAATCCACCCTGGCACATCAAGTCACAGCAGGACTGACCATTATCTACTCTTAAAGGTCAGTGCACACATTAATTATGGACTATTCCCATGACAATACCAGATGTCAAGAGTCATTATAAGACTAGGTATGTGTATATGCTTTTAATCCCAACACTTTGGAGGTGGAGACAGGATTAGGAAGTCAAGCCCAGCCCCTGCAATAGAGTGAATATGAGGCCATTCTAAGCCACAAAATAAAGTAAATGAAATATGAATAGCTGGTCATGGTGGTGTACATCTTAATCCCAGCACTTGGGAAGCAGATAGAGCTCTGTAAGTTTGAATCCGACCTTGTCTACACAGTGAGTTCTAGACCATCCTAGAGCTACACAGTGAGACCTGTCTAAATAATTAAATACCTTTAATTAATGACAGGAATTAAACAAGCTCATAAAACGGGATATGAGGCCCAGTAAAGGGCTTTTCCATATATAGATACTGAAATAATCAGAGGTTAAATTGAAAATTAGCATGAGATCTTCTAATTTTTTTTATTCTTATAAAATGATGGTAGAAACCAATTTTTAATCTTGCTACTTGTATAAAAATAACACAGACCAAAAAGATGAATTTAAAAACAACAAGGCTGCAATTACATCTTCACTGAAGAGGGGAACTTTAAAAAAAAATCCCAAACAAACATTGTTTGTCCCAAAAACTGGAGTACACCTTAATACCAGCATTCAGGAGGCAGAAGCAGGTGGATCTTTGAGTTACAGGCCAGTGTGGTCTACAGAATGACTTCCAGTACAGCCAATGCCACACAGAGAAATGCTGTCTCAAAAGACAAGACAACAACAAAATCCTAAGCCTGTTATCTGTCATAAGGATAGAGAGGGTGATTGTCAATAGGTGCGCCCCTGAGATGCTTGGAAGGGCTTGACAACACAGGAGAGAGGGGTGCTTCCAGGCACGGCTCAGGTGAGCTCCGAGAAAGGCTAGGATTGAAAGCCTAGAGTTTAGGACAAGGTTCTACCATGGGCACCATCCCAATTCTGGATAAGCGTTTTCTGAAGAACACGCTTATCATGTCATAAGATCATGTCATAGGGATGGGACGTAAAAGTTTGTGGTCTAAGGCTCACACACAAAAAAATCTCTGGAGCTGGGAGATAGCTCAGTGGCTAGAAGCGCTTGCTGTACAGACATGAGGAACTGAGTTTGAATCTCCAGCACCCACATTTGTTTGTTTGATAGTTTCTTTTAAAAGCTAGTTGTGACCATACACATGGTCATCATCCTAGTGCTGTGGGGAAGGCAGAGACGGGAATCGCTGGACTGCCTGCTGCCAGTGGGGGTCCAGAATCTTTGAGAACTGTCTCAAGGGAATAAAGGTAGAGCAGGCCACATGACATCTTTTGGCCTCTGCATGATTATTCAAGGGTGCACACACCTGCACCCACATATAAGTGAACGCAACACACACACACACACACACACACACACACACACACACACACACCAACTAAAGAGTGCATTGGAAATAGATCAATTGCTCCAGAGACTAGAGCTCAGCTTTGAATCATCATTCCTAAAATAAGTTTGATTATCTCAAACTGATAGAGATTCTGGATGCCTTCAAAAACAAATGTAAGTTCATTCTGGAGAGAGAAATACAAACCTCCAATTATTTCTAAAAATATATTTCCAACACAATGCCTATCATACAATCAGAAGCACCCAGGCACATAAAGAGAATATTAATGAGGTAATAATGATAAAAAATTTCCCAAAATTAGTGACAGGCAACAAATCAAAGATCCAGGAATCTTGATGGGCCAGCAGCATAAACACTAAATAGCCCTTATCTAAGCATGTCATATTCAAGCTGAAGAAGACCAAAGAATGGAGAATTTCGGCCAGGAGACAAGCCAGAGGAAATATCCCACCCACCTACAGAGGAACGAGAACTAAAATAGCATGGCATATTTAAGAAAGAAGAAAGACAACTAGCACCCTTGAATGAAGACACGAAAAGAGGCAAGTAAATGAAGATTTCTCATGTTTGTGAATAGGAAGAGTCAATATTGTTACAATAACATTTTAAAGCACTGTGTGTGCGTGTCTGTGCGTACATGCTACAGTTCATGTGTGTGGAGGTCAGAGGACAACCCGGGGGGTTGCTTAGTCGGTTCTCTCTGCTGTGGGCTTGAATTCAGGTCGTTGTGCCTGGTGACAAGTGTCTGTCTACTCAGCCACCTCCCCTAAGGGCCTCAGTATCAGTTTCGCTTTAATTTTTTCTCCCAGTGTGGTATCAATGCAAACCCAGTCAAAATTCCAGGAAGCTATTTTACGGTTTAGTGATTGTCAGCTTAACACAAACTAGTTACCTAGGAAGAGGTAAACCCAACTGAATTTCTTCCATCAGATTGGTCTGTGGCGATGTCTGTCAGGTGGGAGGGGCCAGCCCACTGTAGGAGGCACCGTTGCTAGGCATTCTCCCAGGGTTCCTGCTCCGACTTCCTTCAGTGAAGGATGGGTTGTGACCTGGGAGCTGTAAGCTGAAATAAACCCTATTCTTCCAGAGTCGCTTATGATCACGGCGCTCATCGTGGCAACAGAAAGAAAAGGAGCGAATGAACATTGACAAACTGACTCCAGAGTTTATATGGAAAGAAAAATAGAGTAGATAACATGCTATCAAATTGACTATTTGACAGATTAAATAATGTCAATATTTAATTTTCATTCATTGACAATATTTAATTTTCAATTTGTATAAGAATAGATAAAGCCTATGTTTAAGCCGGGCGTGGTGGCGCCTGTAACTATGTCTTGGAGGTGCAGCTCAGTGGAGGGGCGCTTGCCTAGCAAGGATCAGTTCGGGGCTGGGCATGGCAGTACACACCTGCACCCTAGCACTGGGAAAGAACCATGAGTTTGAGGCTAGCCTAGACTATGTAACAAAATCCTGTCCAAAGGAAAAAGCTGCTCCACCAATAAAACACAATTTGAAAAGAAGATGCGCGCTAAACACACTACCAAACACGTGATGCATAATGAACAAATCCTAAGCCTGGCGTGGGAAGGCACAACCTGTGAACTTGGAAAGTGGAAGCAGAAAGAAGAGTTCAAGGTCCTACTCAACTCCAGCCTGGACGACTTGAGACGCTGTCTCAAAAGCAGTAAGATGGAGCTAGGGAGATGGCTCAACAGTTAAGAGGCTGGCTGCTTGCAAAGGACCTAGGTTTGGTTCCCAGCACCCACAGGGAGGCTTACAAAACCGGCCCTTAACTCCAGTTCTGGGGGATCTGACACGTCTCCTGACCTCAGCAGGCACACACATGCATGCATGCACGCAGGCAAAACTCTCATCCACGTAATAATAAAAATGTTTTTAAATTTCCTGTGGTGGGCGTGCCACGTGTGGCAGCATGTCGCTGAGGTCAGAGGACAGCTCTCGGGAGAGGATCCCTCGTGGCACACTGCTGAGGTCCCTCCTGTGTGTGTCCCTCTGCTAGCTCGCCCTCGTGACTCTCCCGCCGCTTCCTCCCGCAGATGCGAGGCTCCGCTCCTCCTGGCTTTTTCTTGCGGGTTCTGGGTGTCCAACTCCGGCCACCGAGCTTGCTTCTCAAAGCCTTTACCTGGTTGGCCATCTTTACGGACGTGTGCTTGCCACAGGGGCTGGGGAGGCGGTGAGCCCCTGAACGCGGCGACTCTCTAAAGGCGCCTCCGCCCTAGCTTCGCTGACCCGGACCGCCCTTCCCAGGGAGGAGCCAGGCACGAGCGCGGAGTAAATATGGCCACGCTCTGAGTCCTCTCGCTCTGCTGAGGGAGAAAGCAGCGCTTGGGGGCTCGTTCTGGGGAGGAGAGAGTTCGAGGCTCGGGAGCAAGGGCGTGCGACGGAGCCCGGCAGGACGGGCTGGCGGGACTGGTGTGAGGGTAGGGAGTGAAGCCGCTGCCACCCCGCAGGAAGCGGCCGGCTGCTGGAGGCGCGCAGGGAAGGGGTCGTCTCCGACGCCCGCGGACGGCGCCACGCATGACGAAGCTACTTCCTAGCCACCGCCACGCCCGCACACACTGCACACGCAGGGCGGCCGAGGGTCCTGTTGCCATGGAGAGCGGGCGCGCGTGAGCCCAGCCGCCCCCCCCCGGCCCCCGCCCCAGCCCAGCCAGCTCTCGCTCTGATTGGCCAGTGCTGCCTCATTATGCAAATCACTTGCGTAGACTCGCCCGGCTAGCTTCTGACGTCACTAAGCTCGCGGGCTGGGGCGCGGGGCTGGGCTTGGTGCGCCTGGGCGGGAGCCCGGAGCGCTCTGAGGGGGACTCCGGCCGGACCCCGGCGCCCCGCCCTCGACCACGCCCCTTTCCAGCCCGCCCCGCCCCTCGCTTGCGGCCGGGCCCCGCCCCCCGGGCAGCCCCCCGCCCTCGCAGGCGGGCCCCGCCCCCTCCCCCAGGCCCTGGCTCGCAGTCCGGAGAAGGGACGGCGGGACAGGCGGGACGCGCGGGAGGGCGGACGGGGCGGGGACATGGCCGCGGCGCCCGGAGGGTCTGCGCCGCCCGCCGGCCCCGGCCCGCGCCTGGCGTTCAGCACCGCGGACAGCGGCGTCGGCATGAGCGGGCTGAACCCAGGTCCCGCGGTGCCCATGAAGGACCACGACGCCATCAAGCTCTTCGTGGGGCAGATCCCTCGGGGCTTGGACGAGCAGGACCTCAAGCCGCTGTTCGAGGAGTTCGGCCGCATCTACGAGCTGACGGTGCTGAAGGACCGGCTCACCGGCCTCCACAAAGGTGCGCGGGGTTAGCCCAGCCCAGCCCAGCCCAGCCCCAATCCAATTAGAGCGCAGCCCAACCCAACTCCGGCCCCAAATGCAGGCCCAACCCCAGCCCTACCTAGAGCTAGCCCGACCCCAGTTCAGTACCTGCCCCACCTCAGCTCTGTCCCTCCCCAGGTCAAAGAGCCCCAGACCTAGAATTTTCTCTGGGACATCCTCCTCCTGAGCATCTCTCTGGTTCCCCATACATTCTTCACTCTAACCTCCAAATCCCTTGTCACTTGTCACATCCCAGCCACCCCACTCCCAGCTGGACCTCTCCACCATGCCTCCCATCAGACACCCCAAACCCTGGGATTTGGAAACTTACTCTACCTTCCAGCTCTGGAGTAACCGATCTCCTGACTCCTGGACCCGTGTATCCCCCGAGCACTCTGTCTGGTGCCACCCTATTCAGGCCTCACTGCTCACACACATCTTGGATTTGCACCCCTCCTGCTTGTAACCAACCCTAAGCCAACCCCCAGAGCCTCCATTTGACTCTTGAGTTTGACAGCCTTAAATAGCCCATACCCAAATTCTCTTCTCTTTCAGAATTCAGACGTAATTTACACAGTACATTTCGCCTCCCAGGAGACTCTCAGAGATAAATGTCTCTCACATTTGACAATAACCCAAGTATCTCAAACATTTTCCAAGAACCCAGCTCTCTTTACCGCTTCTGATTTGAATCCAGAGTCCCAACCTCAGCTGGGAACGTCCACCTGCCTGTGTCCCCTTCATCTGTGGTTTTCCCTCATGTGAATACACTTTCTTTTCATCTCTAATCCTCACTCCTGGGCCTCTGTGCTTCTGTGCTTCCTCTTAGTCCTCTTGAGGGCCTCCTGCTTTCCTTCCTTTGCTAGCTGGTCTGAGACCAGAGCACTCTCAGGGCGGGTCAGCCTAGTGAGGAAGATAGGGATGTGGACTCTTCTCATTGCCCTTCCTAGAAAGACAAGGCACCATGGTCGTGTCCAGCCACACCCCTTTCTTTCTGTAGAGAAGGGAGGAGACTTGTTTACATGCAGAAAAGTCTGTCCAGGCTGGGCTGGAAGCACAGAGCCAGAATCATATAATAATAATTTGAGGAGACGCAGTCTTATTTCCCTACTGGGAAATAATGTGGCTTCGGGATTTTTGAAGGCCTGTGAGCTAGCATCAGACTGATACATCTTTCAAACGGAGAGACCCCTGGGCAATTCTTGGCATACTGAAGTAAAGAGCTTTGAGAAAATGGCTCTTAAACATCTAGGCCATTTAAGTAGAGGCACATCTTCCACCCTTTGGGGTAAGGTTATGTTAAAATACCACAAGGACAAGTTCACACCATCCAGGCTTCTTATAATGCAGCCCAACTCCCCGTCTGCCTTCCTGCCATTCACTTGTGGCACTTATGGTGAGCGTAAAACTAATCTTTGCAGGTGATCTGTGGAATAAAAACAGGGTGTGGAATCGTGGCAGTTTTCACTCAAACACTCAGTCTCTGAACTGTTCCCTGGTCCTCTCTTTCTTTCTCATTTAGCACTAACTCCTCCTGTTCCTCCCCACACTCATCTGTCCCTCAAACCATACTTCTCCCTATGTGCGTCCTTCCATTCTTCCACCCTCTAACCCAAGCAGTCTACATGGATTTTTTCTGGTAGCACCTGGGCACCCAAACCTTTCATAAAGCTCCCTTTCAGTCTGAGGACAGATGTTACGGTTTAGTGGCAGAACAGTGATATGTGTGAAACCCAGGGTTCAGGAATTTGTGGCCCCCAAATAGTCTGCACCTCTCCAAGGCAGGTGCAGCCTTGTGAGCTATGGAGGTAACTCAGAGGGTCTCCAAGTCAGCATCTCCACTCCCTTCCCAGCAACTATGATGTCTGAACACCAGAGTGACTCATTTTCACTTTGATGGCTGAGCACTGAGGGACACAGCCACAGTGCTTTGAGAACAACCCTAGGCCTGGAATTCAAAGATCCTAAACCCTGACCTGCGGCTGACACAGTCTCTGGCTTTGGTTATTCTATTGATATGACAGGACTTTGCCTAGGAGTTCTCAGTAAACAGTAGGCAATCCAGCCATCTTACGGAGGTGGCGCCATAGAAAATAGAAATAAAATAAAATATTTCCCCTTTGCTTGTCTAGTCAGCTATCTGAGTGGAAAACTACACCAGCTCCTGATGGCTTCCCACATGAATGTACCCTTCTTTTGGTCCTTCTCCTTCTTCTATTCAAATGGTTCATTTTGAAAATACAGACCTTAGCTTGGCACAACCCTGGTGAAAACCCTTTAGTGGCTCTCCATTGCTCTCAACGAAGAGTACAAAATTTATTGAGGTCTATACCTCAATAAATGTAGCCAAGTCCCTGCAAACCTCACTAGCTACTCTGCTCATACTTTCAAGTCTAGCCTTCTATCCATTTCTCCAACACACCATTTTCTGGGTCAGTTTTCATTCCTCATGCCTGAAATAATCACATCTCTTCTCACCTGGCTCTAAAGGCTTCACTGTTCCTGTTCTTGAGAAATTATGTCTTCTGTCTTACCATCATCATTTGCTGGGGTTTTAACCTAAGGCCTCATATATGCTAGGCAAGAACTCTACCATTGTGTTACATTCCGGCCCTTAGTGTCTTTTTGAAGACAGTCCTCAACGTCTGGAGACAGAGTCAGGTGCTCTTCATGACATCTAATCTCCAAGAACTGTCCATCTCTAACCCATTACAATGCCCAACCAGAATTAGTAAGCATTGGGTAGCTTCCCAATGGATGACTTCTCCGTGAATGTCGGAAAGGAAGAGCTACCTCCTTTGGTGTTTTCTAAAAGACTGCAGATTCCGCAGCTGAACACAGCGGGAGAGTAGGCTCTACTCTTTAGCTCAACGCAGACTCCTTCCCTGCCCAATAACTGCAGTTCTGTTAGAGGAGCCCAAGCTGGGTCACAAACAACCCTTTAAGAGGTCCCGTCTCATCCTTGGATAGGGTTTTAGGGAGTTTCTGGAATTTTCTACTCACAGGAAGCCCTTCAACCTGAGCCAAGTCTCAAATTAAATCCATTCCCCAACTTTAAACTTAGGAAGTCTTGGGACATAGTTGGCTTTCAACCCTTCATCTTCCTCTTTTCTGTCACTTGGAAGTGGATTAGGAAGGAGTGAAGGCTGATCCTTGAAGGCTATGAGTCTATGTCTGAAATAGATGGTGTTTGGGAGGGCAGGGCACTGCACTGAAGAAGAAGGCAAAGCCGCTTAGGGAGGTTTAACCTAGACAGGACTTATGGATGGAGTGGGGAGGAGAGCTGTGGGATTGAATGAGCACATGATGTCTGGACACATATGTTTCTTGGACAGAAGCCAGGAGAAGACAAGAGAAAGCCAGAGCTTGGAACGTAGGTCCCAGGCACGTGATGCCTTCTCCCGCATGGGACACTTCACAGGGCAGTGTTCACGCTTACAGGACAGGGATCCCACGTCTGTTAACTCACTTGGATCTTACTGAGAAGAGTGTTGCGGGTTTCTAAAAACTCCCTGAGCCAGGCTTTTCCTCCTCAGGCTGTGCCTTCCTCACCTACTGCGCCCGGGACTCCGCTCTCAAGGCCCAGAGTGCACTGCATGAGCAGAAGACCCTGCCAGGGGTAAGTCGGCCGGGTGGGGCGGGCAAGCGGGCATCGCCCCAGCTTGGGGCAGCGCTCCACAGGCATGCCAGAGCACCATATGGGATTGAGTGGCACCAGCACCTAGAAGCAGGGTTACCTACCCAGGAGAGGGCTTATGTTACACTCAGTCTTCTGGCAAAAAAAAAAAAAAAAAAAAGGCTCAAGACACCTGGGCCAAGTGTTCCAGCCTAAGAGACACCAGCGTTGTGAGCCAAGTTAGGGTTTCCCACTTGGGCTAAAATCGCTGTTTCTTATTATTTCTCACTGCTGCAGCACGTATGTCGTGACACACAGTACAGGCTCCCTGAGTTAGTATTCTCTCTTCTCCAGCCTTGTGCTCATCGATGGTACTTTCCTGTGGTCTTTTCCCTGGATACTTTTGGGGTACCTTGACTCACCAAAATTCTTTTCTCGCCATATTATAAAAAATAACTAAAGTTAAAAGAGACTTCTTTTTCTTATAGGCACTCAGGATTATATGATGTGGCCACAAGAGAAAGAAAATCAGAAACTACCATGCATGTGGTAGTGACAGGATTTAGCGTGGCTTGCCAGAAGGAAGCCATGTTCTCAGCCTCATTTTCTCCTATGTGAGGAGTGTTGGTCTAGAAAAGGAGCAATATTCAAATGTCATGAGCAGGCAAAGTCTAAGACAACATCCATTTTAGACTTAAGGACACCTTTGGTCCAGAAAGAGACTGGGATGGAAAAAAGGCACAAAGACAAAATATATCATGAGATATGTGCAAACAAATTGCAGATTTATATCTGGAGAAGGAAGAATTCAGTGATATTTTACTATGAAGGCATCATAACATGATACTATTAAAGATACTTGATTTTACATCTTTCAGACTAGATTTGAATCTCACCTATGTCACTTCTACATTTGCTTTGACTCAGGCTTCAGTTTTCTCATCTACAGGGAGTGGGCTGTACTAACAAGTTATCTCATTGGAATGTAGTAAGGAAAATCCCATTAAATATGACTGTTGTCTTAAGATCTTGACAAAGGACTTGGTTTTCTGTAGTTGGTCGCAAGTGTCAAGAGCAAGATCAGTGAGAATAAGAAACAGGTACCCATCTCAGCTTTGTTCTGTGAATCGGAGCTTTCCAGCCACTCACCAACTCTGTGACCCTGGACAAGTTTCAAACCTTTAATCCCAGCACTTTGGAGGTAGAGGGAGAAAGAGCTCTGTGAGTTTGAGTCCAATATAGTGAATTCCAAGACAACCAGGACTATGTAGTGAGACCCTGTCTCAAAAAAAATAAGATAAAACCTGAGTTTCCTCATCTCTAAGGCTGAATTCATGGGTGGATGTGCTCAGTTGTATGAAGTGCATAGCTCGGCAGAAAGGAAGCACGCAGCATGGGTTAGCTGGCAGTAGGAGTAGCGGTACTGAAACAGTAACACTAGTTGGAGCGATGTAGGAAACGTCTTTCATCTAATCGTGGGAGCAAACCATTCCTGCCGCTAGTACAAGCAACGAGACAGGCTGGAACATCCATGCAGGAAACAGTGATTAAAAATTCAAAGCTGGGAGAAACAGGGGGGTGTGAGGTGGATGGGCCTATGGGGGAGGACACAAGAGAGCCTGGGCCAGGCTGTGACTGAAGCGGAAACAAGATTTGGAGACTTGGAGCCTTACCCAAAAAGCCCTGAGTAAATTGAGATGGGCTTTGGAGGAAAAGGCTTCCAAAGAAGAGAACAGTGCCCGTGGGGTTTTTACAAGAGTGGGCACCACTTGGGAAGGATGGCAAAGCTCTAGAGACCTGTCAGGCTTTCTGAGAAGAGCAAGACAGTAATAACCTGTGTCATCAGCACCGATAAAAATGGCGTTTTATGTGTTCCGAGTCATGGAATCTTTTGTGCAGAAGGTATTGTTACTGGTACCCCGTCTTACAGATGAGAAGCCTGAGTCTTCCAGTGAGCTGCCCAAGCTCATGTACAAGGCCCTCTGGTCATTTAGTCCACCTAGTCTAGTCACTTAATTGCTCCACTATTACATGAGCTAACTTGGTAGCAGATGGGGCTCTTAGTTTCTGGGGAGTATGGCCACTGAGGACTTCTGCCCTCTTCCATCCTGCCATCTGCAGACCTCCAGTGTAGCCTGGCTCCCTCTGTTACTGCCAGGATTGGCTTTATTCACCCTTTTCAACTTAACAAAGTGAAAATTAATATTTAATTATACTCCTAAATGAAAATCAATGGCACTGTTGGCTAGCCCCGGCAGCATCCATGCCATCAATCTTTCCTCTGAGCTTGCCAGGGGCAGGAGCAACTTTCACCAGAGAGGAACAGGCACCCAGCTTGTGTAGGCGCTGGGTCTTGGGCATAGCTGCCACCTGCTGGAGAAACAGGAATAAGACTTCTATCTGCCTTTTTGCTGGAATCCGGCTGGACTGTAAGGGGAAGGAAACCTGTAAAGCTGAGTGAATGCCCCAAAAGAAACCACGGATCTTCACGGGATGTAGCACAGATTGTTCTAGAATGAAACCTGCTCTTGGATCCCCTCTGTTTACCGTCCGCCAGTCTCTGCCACCTGCTGAAGCTGAGCCCCTTACACAGAACTTCTTCAGCCAGCAGCCGCCTGTCCCTCCTTCCTCCCAGTTCCTGAAGCCTCTTCCTGACACAGCTGCTGAACCGTAGTTCTAGAACCCACAGGAAGAGAATGAGGTCAGAGAGTATCCCTTATTGGTCCATCTCCCTGCCCGTGACTTCACTGCCCCTTCGGACACTAGGAAGGAGGCAGATATAACCAAGTAGAGGAATGGTTTGCTTGCACAAGCTGTATCCTGTGCAAAACAGCTTTGGAGAAAAAGAGAGAAAATAGGTGTTAAGTCCAGCTACATTCTATAGACCAAGCCGTGCCCTCAAGAAGCTTCCATCTCAGAAGTGATTCTTTGCAGCCTCTGGAGTTACCCCTAGGCACGTACGCTTCTCCCGGGAGTGGGGAGAAAGGAGAGTCTTTTCAGAAAAGATGTTATCAGATGATTTCTTTATGTCTGATGGTCTAGAAACCTAAAAGCCAGAGGCCACTTCTAAAATCCTGAGCATAATGCCAAAACTGACAGGAAGCTGTGTCCCAGCTGTGTGAGCGGGGACCATTGTGCATGTTGAATACCAGAGGAGACAGGTCCCACAAGTCTGCTCAGTCTTCTCACAATCAGTCGTGGGTAGACTTAGGAAAGAGTTAGGGATGAAGTTTTAAAGTTTCCTCTAGCCCCAGAGTGAAGTCTGAGCAACAGTGGAGGCAAGATGGCCCGACTGGACAGTGTTGCTTACGTGTAGGAGAAACAGGCAGCCTGGGGCTGGGATGGGGCTGGCGCTGGGGTAGGACGGGAATGGAGAGGGGGGAGGATGGGCTCATGGCATGCATGTAGACTCTAGAACCGATATGATTTGATAGCCAGTGGGATTAAAAGAAGCGTGGTAGAACCAAGTGCTGAAAACGGCCATGTTGATGTTCGCCATACTCTCCTTTGACCTGCATGACCCCTCACCAACAGTCCTTCTCAGAGGAATATTGATAAACCCTCTTCCTATGGGAAGGGGATGCTGAGTGAAGGATAGAAGTCAGAACACAGCAACAAACAGCCCAAAGACGGGCATTCAGACAAGTCTGTCAGAGAAGTGGGATCCATTGCTTCCTTTGGGCTTGCCGGTGCCTTGTGCAGGTCTGTATTGCCCCTGACCTTCCTCACCCTGCTTCCTAGAGTAAGTTGTTCTCTCCTCTCCGATATTCTCCACCTTCATTTCCCCTTCAGGGCCCTGACACTGATGGGAAACTCTTAGGGGAACAGGTGATCAGCCAAGCTGAAGGCTCACCTGAAATCCCATAGCAAGTTTGTGGTTGAGGAGTCAGCGCCCCCTTTTCTGTAGTGCACCCTAGGTCCTTCCCCTGTTTATGGCAGAACTATAACAGACAGGGTTGCCCAGTAGCTTCCATGAGCAGCTTTCTCCTCCAAGCGTATCTTACCTAAACTGCAGGTGCTCCCGTAATGGCTGAGCCTCAGAGCCTGGGAAGCAGTACTCTCCCAATTCCTGAGCCAGAAACCTGGAGTCAGCCACAGGTCCTCTTCCCTCTGCCCCACCCCCAACAGAACTATAGTTTAGATGCTTTGTCTCTCCATGTCTTTCTATAGTGGTCCAAGTCACCCTGCCCTCCCACCGGTATCATTGACCTTCCTGCCTCTTCTCACTCCCTTCCCAAGCCTCTCTTTGCACCAGGATAACTTATGAGATGCTTTCTAAGAATTAACAGACCAGATTACTTCCTCTCTTCCTTTTAAAGTTCCTCCCTGGATATATTGGTGAAATATATCCAAGTCAAAATCCTTGACATGCATTTTATAGATTTCCTTGATCTGGCCCTTTCCTGCCTCTCAGTTTCATGCCCTTTCACCAAAACAAAATAAAAACAAAAAACAAAAAATTAAAAAAAAAATCAAAAAAGACACAAGGAGGCACACAAAAAGATAAACAAAACCTACCATATCTGGCATACCTACTAAGATCTGCCCATAGTAATTTCCGCCAGAACCCTGAAGCATAGGGCCATGATTCCTTCTCTTGTGAGTCTCAAAGACCTCAGAGAAGTTGCCAATGATGTAACCAGGACTTAAGTTCCCATCCGTCTCACAGGCAATCTGTCCTTCCAGGGCTGAAGCCCTTGCTCTTTCTACTCGATGCTCCCAGTCTCTGCTCTAGCTGTTCAGAATGCCCAGCTGCCAGCCCTGCTTCTCCCACTCTCTACCCACTCTGACCTATGAGGCCCAGGTCAAACACTGAGTCTTAATGGATTCTTCCTGTGTCCGCCTCTCCAGGGGCAGCCAGCCTCACTCATAGCTCATCTTGCATTGTCTTCGAGGCCCTGGTACTTCCGTGTTTCATTATTTGTGTTGATGTCTTAAGAATGGGGTTGAGTGCTGGAGATGCGGGTCAGTCAGTCAGGTGCTTTCTGTGCAGGCATGGGGGCCTTGAGTTTGATCCCCCAGAACTTACATCCAAAGCCAACAGCAATGATACGGTCCTGTAATCCCATGGGTGCAGGAAATCCCTTGGTTTGCTGGTCAGCCAATCTAGCTGAATCGAGAACTCCAGGTTTAGTAAGAGACCCTGTCTGAAAGAGAGAGAGAGAGAGAGAGAGAGAGAGAGAGAGAGAGAGATGGCTCAGTGGTTAAGAGCATTGGTTGCTCTTCTGAAGGACCAGGTTCAATTGGCAGCACCCACATGGCAGCTCACAACTGTCTGTAACTCCAGGATCTGACAGCCTCATGCAGACATACATACAGGCAAAGCACCAATCCACATAAAATAAAAATAAGTAAGTTATTTAAAAAAAAAAAGATAGAGGGAACCTTGGTTAAGAACGCTGCTGTTCTTCCAGACTCGATGCCCAGCATCAGCGGCTACAATGGCTCGGAGGATCTGATGCTCTCTTCTTGCCTCTTCTTGCCTCTGTGCACCATGCACACGTGAGGCACACATACATGTGGAGACAAAGCACCCATAACATAACATAAAAACAAATAAATCTTTTTATAGAGTGAGGAAGAGGCCTGACACCAAGTCTGGCCTTCACACACACACACACACACACACACACACACACACACACACACACACACACAACTACATATATACATTGACAGATACTCAGTAGATTTGAGCTGGGCAGCAGTCAGGAGGCTGGGGCAGGAGGATCATGAGTTTGAGGCTATCCTAGGTTACTAGCAAGTTCTAGAACAGCCTCAGCTACATCGTGAATATCTTAAAGACGAAAAGACAAATAAAATACAGAGTTGAGGAGAAGGGTACAAAAATCACAAGCTGCACTGTCAGGCAGACCTGGGGTGAATCCCAGAGAACGCACCACGTGGTCCTGGACAAATGAGCTTCTCCCCCAATGCTTTCTCAGCCATAATATGGGGACAGTGGCACTACCTCCTGGAAAGGTTAGAACGATTTGAAGACATATATAGAGAGTCCCAAGAAGAGGCTTGGCACCTGGTGTGCTGTCAGAAAATGGGGGCCTTATTGTCTCTGTGAGCCTATGAAGGGTGTTTCCACCTAAGCATCACTGGGGCTCATTGAAGGGCTCAGGAAATGTTGGCAGTATGCGTAACTGACAGAAGGCCTTGCCCTCTGAGGCCTGGACCGTGTGAGCCCATGCAGGGATTCATATGTACCACCCAATATCCACTCTCCACTGAAAGGTCAGGTGGTCAGGGGGAGGAAAAGGAGCACCCTCCCAGAGCACCAATGAGCACATCTCCCGGGAAACCCAGCCAGGAGCTACCATGGAAACGGCTGCTGTCACATGCCCTCGTCACTCTAGGCTCTGGAGAAAATCCTCAGGATCTATTTAAGAACTAATAAAATAATGATGGTTTTGCTCACTCTCGATGACCCTCCAGATCAGGCTTCTGCCCTTTTCCTTTCTCCTGCTAGGCTCTCTGTGCTCCCCTGAACCTGCTATCTGGCCTCCTGCCTTCCTTTCCTTACCATTCTCACCAGTAATTCTCTCTCTTTGCCCCCTTCTAGGTCTATCTCTTACTTTCTTCCATAATTTCTGTCTTGCTGTGTTTTTTCATCTCTCCCCATGTCTCTGCTCTCCATAGCTCTGTCTCTTGGTTTCTCCTCCACACTCACAGGTGGCCATGCCTAGGGACTGGTCCTGTCCTCCTGGCCCCTGGTCCGGGCCAGTCCAGACCTGTCCAGCTCGCCCTGATCTGCTTGGATTGATCTGTCATCCCCTCTAGACTACAACCTGAGTCCTGTTGGTGTCTCGGCCCCACCCACAGCCTGGTACACTGCAGGTGCTCCACTACCAGAGGGCGGGTGTGTCAGAGCCTCGGGCGGGAGGGAGGATTACCACGGTTCAGGCTTGGCTTGTTTTCCTTTCATTTTCTTTTTTTTTAAATGAGTCTTCCTCACCCCTCCCATCCCAAAATTTGATCCAAAGAAATTGCTCAGCTGTGACTGCCAGGGTGTTACCATGGTTACTGGGTAGCACTTGTGGCTATGGTAACAGGAAGCTGCCTGTTGTCTCGGCAACGAGCACATTGGAAGGGATGGAGTGGCCCCTGATTGGTGTAGAAGCAGTCCGTTTCCTGAGGGGAGGGGGTCAGAGCATCACCTTCTCAGGCCAGATGGGCATCAGTCACCCCTTCCTCCAGGAACAGGAAGGCCGCTGTCCCTTCCTCCCGGCACTCAGCTGTCTGCCCCTAACATCAATCCCCCACATCCCACGCACCCAGCTCTTGGCAGTTTACCAAGACCTTCTGCACCCCCATTACCTCATGTGATCCCCACAACACCTATGAGAGGAAGGTGAGATGGGGATTCAATCATGAATTCACTTAGGGTGGTTGGGGGATGGGAAGGTGGGGGTATATATTAAATCACCTAGGAGCTTTTTCAGGTTATACAGTCCCCCACTTTAAGAATCTAATATGGTTCCCAGGTGATTTTAACCACATCTGAGCAGGGAATCCTTGAATTAACAGGTGAAGCTGGCTGGAGGAGGGAAGGGTTGGAGGGAAAGTTAAGTTGATTTCTAGGTTTATAACTGAGTGGTGGAGGATTGAGTCTGGGTGGAGAGGCGAGCTCGGATTCTGGTGTGTTGAGTGGAAAGTGCCAGTGGGCCTTGCTAGCCATGATGTCCAGCGAGCAGCTGGAGACATGGGTGTGAGGCTCAGGAGAGAACGTGGGCTGGAGATGCAGGTCTGAGTCACCCCTGTGTGGATAGCTGCTGAGGCTGTGGGTGTGGCGAGGCGATCCAGGGAGAAGTGGAAGAGAGAGAAGAGCAGGAAGAAAATGGTGCCTAGAGAGCCCTACGCTGCCAGGGAAAGGGATGTCCAGGAGGGGCAAGGACAGAGACGGTCATGGCACAGACAGTTGGGAATGTTTTCCCTAATTAGTAAACTGAGACAATGGCTTCTGTAAACTCATACGACTGGGACATGGCAGAGTTAGGGGAGCACGGAGTCTGAGCCCCCGAGTGTTTAATCTAAATACCACACAGCTATCTTCTCAGCCGCAGACATAAACCACAAATGTGCTATAGCATCACCCCCTCCCTCCCACCCAGTTCCTCTCACTCCAAGCCTTTATGGAGGTCAGGGGGCCTGAGAACCAGGCACCACCTGGAGGTGCGCTGAGCCCACGATGGAAGAACGTCTTTGGCCATTGCATCCCCCACCCCCGCCTCTTCAGGTTCCAGCGCTGTCTAAATACCTGGGTTTAAGGAAGGAGAGAGTCTGTAATCCCTATGGGAGTGGAGGGGTGCAGACTGCAGAGGGGACGGGGGCTCAGAGCCGGAGAAGCCCAGCGGGAAGAAAGAAGGAGGTCTTGGGACCAGGCAGTCATGATAAATGAGTGTGTTGGCCCCATGTCTTTCAGATGAATCGTCCGATCCAAGTGAAGCCGGCTGCCAGTGAGGGCCGAGGAGGTAACTTCCCTGTCACAAACCGCAGACTGGTACCTGTGAGGGCATGGGTGGGCCCATCCCTGGAGTTAGTCCTCAGCCAGGGCTTACCATTAGACCCAGCCTAGGTCAGCAGAGTCTGGAATTGTGTCTCACAAAAAAGCTAAGCCATCCCAGTTAAAATAGAGGAAGGACAGCATTCTGGGGAGCTTGGACCAGAAAGGGCAGAAGTGGAGGAAGGAAGCTTTCGTCACCTGGCTCTCGGAGAATGGTCATTACTGCCTTGCTAGGCAGAGTCTACAGGTGCACATAAAGAAGCAAGCCGGGTTGGGCCACTCATTCCTTTCCTGTAATGCCGAGATTAATCACTGTAAAAGCTGAGGCCGGCGGGACCAGGTGTGTGAGCCACAGTAAGGGTCTTAGCTTACGAAGGACCATGGGTGTCTTCAGACATTCTTAGATGCACTGTTCCCTGGTAGGGAAACCACTGCTTCTTAAGAACAGTGTACTCTGGCCAGCTTTCCCACCAGCAGGGCAACGCTGACTGGAATCAGCAATTAGTATCTTTCTTGCCCTCGGGTCTTGGATTGTCTCAGGGTGTCTGCCTACATCCCTCCTTGATGTCTGCTGGCTCTCCCACTCTCATGAGAGAGAGTCTCTCCCTGTCTATCTCACCCATGATCTCATTGCTTTGTTATGAGAAAGAGTCATCTCAGATTCATTTAGGAAACAATAAAACTCGCTTGAGAGAGACATTCTATTGACACCCAGCTAATCCCTTCACACCCTGTCTTGGTCTCCTGTCTGCACTCACTGGGGGCTCTGGTGGTATCAGGGTTCCACTTGGTCCCAATAAATATCCTTCCTCCTTTTAGATTCTCCGACCTTTGTCTTTGACTCCTTATCTCTGGTCAAGATATCAGCCCCATGTTGCCTTGAAGAGATATTTTTAGATATTTCCTCTTTCCATGTTTGTCCTCCTTTTTCATCTCAGTCTTTCCAGACAGGCTTTTCTGATGTTCCAGTTGCATATGTTCAAGAACCTCTTCTCCTTGGGAAGCTCTGTTAGGCATCAAGGACATTGTTGTCCATGTTCTTTCTCTCTCTCTCTTTATAAATTAAGTGTGGTTTTCTTTTTCTTTTTAGATTTATTTATTTTATTATGTATACAACGTTCTGCCTGCATGTACCCCGGAAAGCCAGAAGAGGGCACCAGATCTCATTATAGATGGTTATGAGCCACCATGTGGTTGCTGGCCATTGAACTCAGGACTTCTGGAAGAGCAAGCAGTGCTCTTAACCTCTGAGCCATCTCTCCAGCCCTGTTGACCATATTCTAAACCCTAACCAGGCCAAACACATGAGACAGTTCCACAGAGAAGTCATCCATGAGCACAGGAGTAAGCTGAGAAGCAAACAGAATGGGCTGTAGTTCATTCAACCATCCAACCAATATGTTCTATGTTGCTCCACATCAGGAATAAAGATGCCTAGCAGGCCTGGCTCCAAAGGGTCGCCAGGTCATGAAAGAACAAGTGGGAAAATAAACAAGGGGTCATTAGTCAGTGTAAACAATGTTTCTCAAGGGAAAAAGTCCAGGATGGCACTGTGGGGACACAAATCAGAGATAACTAACCTCTGCTAGGAGGCCCAAGTGAGCTCAGAGGGAGAGAGAGAAAAGGAGCCTCCGCCTCGGCAGAGGGATGGGCATGCTCCATGACCGCAGATGTCAGTAGGACTTGGTACAACTTGGAATCCTATGGCTACATGTGCCTCCCGTCAGAAATCAGCAGCGGCTGCCCAGAGGAAGCCTCCACGGCAGTAACACTTCCTCTCGGCCGTGCGGGTCGGCTTGGGTGCTAGCACTTTGCCCCTCCCTTTTTGTACACATCTTGCAAGTGTCACATCACAGATGAATTCTATACACGAAGCACCTCACCTGCCCACCTGCCCACCTGTCCATGTTTAGAGCAGTCCAGGGGCAGAACAGACAAATGTGACTGAAAAGAGGGCTGCTAACAGCCGGGTTCACTTCCAAAGCTTATGTTACACAGATTTTTCTTGAATGATGGTTTTCAAGGACTATGCGTTCTGAACACATCCTTAGATAATTCCAGCAACTGTGCACAGCCAGACTTCTCAGTGCCTCCTTGCTACTTACTAGGGGGAGATCACACATGTCTTCTAGCTTAAAGAACTTATTCATGCCTGTGTGTGTCTGTGTAGATGTGCATACAGATGGCTGCCTGCTGGGGCCAGAAGTTGGCATCAGATCTCCTGGAGCTGGAGTTATAGGTGCTTGTGAGCTGCTCAGTCATGAGCACTGGGATCTGCCTTTTGGGCCTCTGATAAAGCAGGAAGTCCTTTTAACCACTGAGCCATCTTTTCAGCCTCCACACAACTCTTCTAGAGTTTGACTGCTGCATTTGAACACTGTCTAACATGTGATACACTGATTTTGTTGTTTGGTTTTGAGACAAGGTCTCACCATGTAACTCAGAGATCCACCTGCTTGTCTCCTGAGTGCTGGGGTTAAAGGTGTGCACCACACACCTGGCTGAGAAGCTCTAATTTTTATAGATAGTCTTAGATTTCTTTCCTCTGAAATGTAATAAATGACACTAACATGGCACAATCTGTCCCATTAAAATCTTAGTTCAGTGACCTCAAACATTCTATGAACCTGGTCATACCTGTTTTTGTACTTCAAGCTTATGAGCCTGCATATCTTGAGTTGCATTATCTTGAGTTGAAACCTTTAGTTTAGAGCTGATTACCATTAGCTTCTACATCTGAAAAGGATGCTTGTGTCAATAAAACTTTATCAAGGCTGCCGAAGCCTGTAATTCCAGAATTAGGGGCTAAAGCAGGACAGTTGCCACAGGTTTAAGGCTACATGAGCTACACAGTAAGTTTCAGGCCACCTTGGGCTATAGCTAGTGTAAGATCCTGTTTCAGGAGCCAGGAAAGTTATCCTACAACTTACTATAAAATGTACATCTAAATTATTATTATTTTTATTATTATTATTATTGGTTTTTTGAGACAGGGTTTCTCTGTGTAGCCTTGGCTGTTCTGGACTCACTTTGTAGTCCAGGCTGGCCTCAACCTCACAGCAATTCCCCTGCCCCTGCCTCGCTGAGTGCTGGGATCAAAGGTGTGCACCACCATGCCCAGCTCTTACATCGAAGTTACTGAAACAAAAGCTACTTCAGCCTTTTGTTAAGTGCACTGTGAGCCAGATAAACCCACTGGATTGACTTCTTTGGTGCCTGAACCGCAGTTACCCCATCATCATCCTGCTCATGTGAGCCTTTTCACAGAAGCAGTGCTCTGGTTCTGAGCTTTGGTGCCAACACCACAAACAATGTTCTTTCAATCAATAATCAATAAATTGTGGCGATAACCGATGCACACACTGCTGCTCTTAGATGTTACGGGCGACACTGGAGATTTCACACTTGTGTGTGTGTGTGTGTGTGTGTGCTGGTGCAAATGCCTAAATGTGGACAGGACGCAGGGTTCAGAGGCCAATATCAACTGCCCAGAATTAGCCACCTTGTTTCTTTGAGGCAGAATCTCTCATCGGGACCTGGGGTTCACCCTGTTGGGTTAGGTTGGCTGTCCAGGGAGCCCCAGGGATTTCCTCTTCTATGCTCCCCACGCAGGCTCTGAAGACGGAACTAGGCCTCCATTTTTGCAGAGCAGGCATTGACTGAGCCACTTCCCAGCCACAGCACTAACACAATAGTGACGGCAGGACAGCAGTGCACCTGCCTGAGGGGAGGAGCTAGGATCTTCCTCTTTCATGGCTGTGCCCTGCAAGCTTGGGGACACATTTCTCAACAATATGCATCCGCACCTTCATACACTACATTATTTTAACGCATCCTGGCTAGGTCCCGTGAATTCTGCAGCTAAGTTCCATAGTGTTCACAGAGTTCATACCCTCTGTCTCTACTTGGCACCCAGTGGCAGCTATACATCAAACAGTATACTATTAAGGAAAAATTAATTACATTTCCTAGAATGAAGCCATCTCCTATCACATGAATAATATTTGTTTCTGCGTTGGCTGTACATGGCATCAAAAACTTTTCCTCCAGTGTTTCGATTTATTTTAAAGTGATCATTAAAAAGTTTTTTGAGGGGCTTGAGAGATGGCTCATAGGTTAAAAGCACTGGCTGTTCTTCCAAAAGTCCTGAGTTCAATTTCCAGCAACTACATTGTGGCTCACAACCATCTCTAATGAGCTCTGGTGCCCTCTTCTGGCATGTAGGCACACTAACAGGCAAGATACTGTATAATAAATAAATAAATACGTTAAAAGAAAAAAATTTTCTTAAACCAGATACAGTGGCTCCTGTGACCAGTCCCAGATACTTGGGGAACTGAGGCAAGAGGATCCCTTGAGCCTCATCAACATACCAAGACCCTGTCTCAATAAATAAGCTGAGAAAGTTTCCAGGGAGAAAAGGATCATGTGTTTCAACACGAAAAACATTAACTCCAAATTATCTAAAATCAGAAAAAGGATCCTAAGTTGATTGGACAATGATAACTACATAAATTGGTATTATTTGTCATTCAGCATGAAGACCACTATGGAGTTTTCTTGCTTAACTGTTTCTACCCTGGACATCCTAATAACAGGTTAAACTGTAAGTATAGTCTGACTGAAAATAATTTTTCAGTCAAGATGAAATTTTCAAAATCAGTGGACCACTACATTTCTATTTTCCTTCCTTTTCAATTTTATAATATAGTCAGTAAATTAATAATCATGATGGTGATTATTCTGATTGTTCTACTTCCCAACCTGGCTGTATTTCTTTTAGCTACACAAATCTTTACACATCCAAGATGCCTAAGGTACAGAAACAGATTAAGTAATCAATACACCCAATCAATACACTCTTTCTACTTTTTAATTAAGTGATTAATTAATTCAAAACTTGAACTTGTAATCTTCCTGCTTCAAGCTCAGACTGTTGGAGTTACGGATACTCACTACCACACTCTG